CTGTCTGGAATGCTCTGCCTCCAGATAGCTTCATGACTCCATTTTCTCCTTATTTAGATTTTTTGTCCAGAGTTATTTCCATGAAGTTTTGCTAGGACAACCTATTTACAATTGCAAACGTATCTTCCTCCTGCCCATCCCCTTATTTACTCCTCTCTTTGCTACTTGATTCTTCTCTGTGGCACTTTTAAAAAATTATTTCTATTCCCTCTAGAATGCAAGCAAGGTGAAGATAAGGATTTTTATTTGCTTTATTTACTATTTCCCTAGCTCCTAGATAAGTACTGGCACACAGCAGACACTAAGTAAGTGTTCCCTGAATGAACGAATGAATGAACAAACTTCCCCAAGGTCACAGAGCTGGTAGAATTGGAATCTGTACCATCTGACTAAACAGTATAAAAATTAAGTGCTAAATTATACTTATAGAGAAACTAACAATTCTTTAATAAGATACAAATCTGGTCAAAGAGCAAAAAATACTCTTCTCTGACACAAACAATAGACTTTATATAGTAATGGAGAAAATGTCCATATTTACATAATCTTTACATAAACAAAAATTAATATTCCTTACAAGCATATATTATAAAAAAATCATTATTTTTAATATTGGAGGTGGCAGACCATTTGTACAATTGAATATCTTGTATATAAAATTCTGCAGGGTCAGAGACATTTCAAAGGTGAATAATCTAGTCTAGATTCCATTATTGTTGAATTGACACAAAATTGGTTGTGTTTCTCAAAAGATGTATTTTGTTCCTAGCTGAGAGAACAAATAAGTGGCATTATTCATTTATTTATTCGTCAAATATTTATCAACCACCTACTCTGACCAGGCACCATTCTAGGCACTAAAGATACAACAGTGAACAAAACAATTCTTACATTCTTGAAGGGGAAACAATAAAAACAAAACAAAAAATAAGAAATGTATCCATGTCATCAAAATATCAGTTTTGATAGTAAATGCCCTTTGTACTTCAATCTTAAATAATCCAGAAAAACCTTTATCACGGTGGTAAAGACCTCAGACTCTGTGGAGTCCGATGACCCAGGCTTGCATCTCCATTACAAGCTGTGCTCCTAGTATATTACCTCCTCAACTGGCAATTTCACAAATGGGGAAAACAGAACCCATCTTGCCAGACTACTGTAAATATTAAAAGGGAAAATATGCAAACAAACAACACACTGCAGGGAAAATAGTAAATATCAATTAATCCTATTATTGTTATTATTAGGATATGTAAACAATCTAATTCTTTCATTGTATGAAGCCTAGGTCAAACCCATATGAAAGTCTTGGGCTTCATATTTAATTAGTTTCTTTTACTCTTTTGGAAGCCAGAATGAGTCATTCATTAACTCATTCAACAAATATTCATTGAGTATTTAATTATGCATGCTAGGTATTTTACTAGGTGCTGGAATACAGCAGGACAGACATGATCTTAAACTCTTTTGGAGTTTAAGTTGCCATGTTATCATAGGTATTAGGCATTTTGACAGTAAACTGAAGAAGTGCCTGGTTGTTTGGCCTGAGGCGACCCAGCACTGGAGCCTACCCGACTCTTTGGTGGGGCTAATGGCAGACTCTGGGACGGCTCACGCCAAGGAGTACTTCCCAGAACTTCTGCCGCCAGGGTCCTTGTCCCCACGGTGTGCCACAGCCAGCCCCTGCCTCCGCAGGAGACCCTCCAACACTAGCAGCTATCAGCAGGACCCTCATCCCCCGTTACTTTAGCACTGTGTTTTAAATACTGACCTGTATTACATTCTCAAACACTCAAAAGAACCCTACCACAGCTCATCCATCACAGTGGACTGAGACAGCGTGTGATGGTCACCCAGCACGGGAAGCCCATGTTTACCAAGATGTGTACAGAAGGCAGGCTGACCTTGGAGTTCACCTTTGATGATCTCATGAGAATAAAAACATGGCACTTTACCATTAGACAATACAGAGAGTTAGTCCCAAGAAGCATGCTTGCCATGCATGCACAAGATCCTCAGGTCCTGGATCAGCTGTCCAAAAACATCAGGATGGGGCTAACAAATTTCACCGTCAACTACCTCAGGTTGCGTGTAATACTGGAGCCAATGCAGGAACTGATGTCCAGACATAAAACTTACAACCTCAGTCCACAAGACTGCCTGAAGACCTGCTTGTTTCAGAAGTGGCAGCGGATGGTGGAGCCGCCAGAACCCACAAGGCAACCGACAACGAAACAGACAAAAAGAAAAAAATTCCACCAGCAGCAGCACTGGGAACACTGCCAACAGCACGGACGGCAAGAAGACGCCAGCTGCCAACCTGAGTCTGTCCAGTCAGGTACCTGGGCTAGGAGCGATCCCGAACTGCAGCCTCAACCCTGGGAGGGATGGAGACCTGTGTCATTCAACAGCAGTGACCCCTTCTGGCCAATTTAAGGAGAAGCATTGAGGGGCCCTGAAGGAGTCACTTCCAGTCCTCCTCAGAGGATTTGATGGTGGTAGGAGAGCCAACTCTGATGCGAGGGGAGTTTGGGGATGAAGACAAAAGGCTAATCACTAGATTAGAAAACACGCAGTATGATGCAGCCAACGGCATGGACGACGAGGAAGACTTCACCAGTTCACCAGCCCTGGGGAACAGTAGCCCATGGAACAGTAAACCTCCCACCACTCAAGAGACCAAATCAGAAAACCCCCCACCCCAAGCTTCCCAGTAAGATTGACCTGCTCCAGAATCCACTGTCAATAGCCCCTGTGAGTTACAATCACTATTTCAGATCCTTACTCACAGCAGAGAAAGGAAGAGACATTAAAACTTTTCCATGCAAATAACTATTTCTAAACCACAGGGATCTGAGTTTCTTTCTTTCTTTTTTTAATTGAGAGGATCATTCCAAATAAACTTCCATGGCCCCTCCCTGGAGACCTTCACAGGTAACACAGATACTGGCAGTGATTGTAATTATAAAATAAGAGCAAAAGCTAGGCTTCTCCTGGCTCGGTTTTAACCACATTTGTTAATTTCACTCCCCCCGCCCCACCCAACCATCCAACAAACGCCATATTGTTAATAAACCCTCAGTGCTCAGGATCTCATTCTATGCCGAACCCAACTACAGATAGACTTTTTAATATTGTAAAATATTTTCTGCTTTTTGACTTGCATCTGAGAGTTACTTGTTTCAGCAAAAAAAGGAAAGGAAAAAAATCCACTTTTGGAAAGTAATTTAAATGTACCTTTATCTTCTTTTCCCCCTTCACCTTTCCTTTCATAAGGTAACAGCTAAGAGGGCCCAGCAGGGTAATTTATGGCCGAGCTAAGGTCAATTGGTCCTCCATCCTGAGTTGGTTCAATCGAGCCCGAGTGCTGAAACAAGAAATGTCTTTTTGTCATCAAAGGCACCAAGGTAGATTTTTATGTCAAGAAGGGCACTTGGCCCATTGAGAATGTAGGCGTTTGTAAAATTTCTGTTGATCCAAATATTTTCAAGCCATGTAATCCATTAATTTTGTGGGCAGTTTAATAAATCTGAAACTCTTTTGTGTTTTTCTTGTTGTATCTGAGTTGACTGTTGTTTCTTTTCACAGTATATTTCCTGTATAATATTTTGTACAGCCCTAACCTGGTTCTTTTATGGGGACTTTTCTTTGGGAGCAATTCCAGTGTATTTATGTGAAACTTTATAAAAAAACTAATTTTTCCATTTGCATATTAATGCGTTTCTCTATATGTGAAAAGACAGTGGCTCCGTGTATTATAAAACAGCTGGATTTTATGTATGCTTTACTGTTAAGTGTGCCAATAATACACTGTATTAACGACCAAAAAAAAAAAGTGCCTAACTTTCCAACAATACACAGTGACTTTAAAGAAACCAGTATTTACCAAGTTCTATCATAAGAAGGCCCGCCAGTAGTGCTTTGCCTTCAGAGAATGCTCAAGTGAATCAAGTTCACCAGCAAGGGCAAGGTTGGGACAGCCTGGAAACAAAGTAGAAGAAATCCCAGGATCCTGCTGGTGTCTTCTCATCATACTACTTCCAAAATGTACTTGCCTTAGTAGAATCTAAGTTTCAGTAGTAGATATTTTATAAACAGTTTTCAAAAGAGATAGCAAATATTCCCGGTCTTCACTACTACCATCCTAGCCCACAATCCTCTCATCTCTTCCTTGTATTACTGAAATGGCCTTCTAACTGGCCTCTCAGATTTGCCCCACTAGTCTGTTCTTCAAATAACTATCACAGTTATCTTTTCAAATGTAAAGTATATTAAGACACTATATTGACTAAATTGCCCAAAGCTTTCTCATCCTACTTCAAACCCAGTATCCTTCCGAGGCCCAGAGAGCCCCGCGGGATCCGGCTCTGCCTACTTCCCTGGCCGCACCTGCCACTGCCCGGCACCTCGCTTTAGCCACTCAGGCATCTGAACCTCAACCCACCCCGCTCTTTCCTGCCTTGGGCCTCCGCGATTCCGTGGGCCTGAAATCCCTTCCTGTGGCTCACTGCAGCCGGCGCCTTCTCATGCTCATGACCAACCAGGTGAAAGCAGCCTCCTCACACAGTCGCTATCACAGTTGACTGGTTTTATTTTCTTCTCGGCCATAATCACCATTTGAAATGATCTTGATTGTTAGGTGTTGATTTATCTTCTGCTGTGCTCCACATGCAATCTATAAGCACTGTTCCCCTCCGGTTAAGAAAATGATTGTTTAATTACTAAATGAAGAAAGGTCCTAGCAATGTTTCTTGCTCTCTTTAAACTGTGGAAATACACAAGCACCCATGGAAGACAGGGGATTCGGGAGGAGCGTCCCGCCCCACGCCTCCAGGAAGCGGAGAAGGGGCTCCGCTTGCTACCAGGCAGCGCATCCCTGCCCCGCCAGTGCCAGTCCCGCCGCGTACCTGTTTCCGCTCGACTTCCGCTACGGTACACCACCCTTCACTGGGCGGGATGTCTCTCCGCCTTCCTGAACGCCCCGCCCACCCGCCATTCACCTGATCCACTCTCGGCTTCCACCTGGAGGCGCGCCTCCGAGGGCTGGGCCTCCGCCTCCGCCGCCGATCTCAGCGCCGCCAGCACTGTCTCCGGGGGCAAGTCGACCACTTGCTCCCACACGGACTCCGTGTAGAAGTCCACCGTATGTGCACTGGAAATGGACAGGGCTTCCGTCAGGAACCGCAGCAGCCCCTGCAACTTGGCATGCAACGTGGACAGGTCCTGGGTCACCGGGAGCGGCCCAGAAGCCGCCATGACGCCCACCCTCCCGGGCTGTAGGTGGCGCAAACGTGGCCGCAAGGCAAGGGCTCAGTGGAAAGTATAGGCCGGATAAATAGAATTCCGATCTGGACTGTGGGTGGGCGGCTGATTGCTTCTGCCTGATGACGTATTTTTTACCGCGCCAGTTGTGTTTTTCTGGCGCCGCGGTTGGTGTGCCATGGCGCCGGTAAGGCATGCAGCAAGGGGGCAGACAGGGAGCTTTGGGTCGCGTGGCGAAGGAGTTTCACTGGTCGGATTCAGAAATAAGAATATGAAACGGAGGACGTGGCGACCTAGTCATCCGCAGGCCTTCGCGGGGAGCGTTCGCGAGGGTATGTATGTAAGAAGGCAGCCTTTTACAAGTCCTCGGGCCTGCGAAATCTTAGGATACGCGATCCGCCCAAGCTGGGAAGGATTTAGGAACCAGACCGAGCCGTACTTGGGGCAGAGAAATCTATTCTTAAATCTGCTGAAGCCGTGGGCGTCTCAGAGCTCTGGACGGGAAGGCGAGGCAGTGTTGCTCTAAATCTTTCAACATTTTCCTCGACTTAATCCCATTTTTTAATGAGAACTCTTTTCGTTTACATTTTCCCCGTGAAACCGTAAGCAGAGAGAATCTATGAGTCCATTTGTGCATGTATTACGGTAAAGGATAGAAGGCGAGGCCGGAAATGTACTGCCCCACACTCTTGCTGATTACAAATACCCCAGAGCCCTCCAGTCTTCTCTTACTGTGTTTATTTGCTTCGTTTTAGTTTGTGTTTTTCATTTTGTCTTGCTGTTTGTAAGTACTTTAAAAACCCATTTGGAATGTATAAATCTTAAATAGGTAGTTTTCTGATAATTGCTGTTGAGAAAGTCATACACCGTCTTTCCTCGTTTGCGTTGAATTACTTTAGAAAATCAGTCGTATTTTCTCTAACGTAAGGTAATAGATGCGAGGGTTTTTTCCCGGAGGTATTTAGTGAAGACCTAGGTTAAGTGTTTTAGATGAATTAAGAAATCTGTTTGATTTGTGAGTACAATAAGTTGGAGTTGTGCAACACTCTACTCTTTTTTCCTTCTTTGAGATTCTTTAGTTCTGCACAATTACCGTTAGCCTGGTCTTTTTGCGAAGGACCAGTATACTGTTCATTCCATTAGCTTAAACTTGTTTTCTTGAAATAACGTTTTACAGCAAAACATAATGTAATTCTAGCACCTAAACGTGATGATATAAAAGGTTTTTAATTTTAATTTAGCAACTACATTGTTCATGCAAATTATTTTCTCAGAAAGTAATTCATGACTGATATATTCTTCAACAGGACAAGGCTTTGCATTTCGAAGAAAACTAAAAATTCAGCAAAATTACAAGAAATTGATATGGAGGGAAAAGAAGGCTAAAACCTCACGGGAATCCCAGTTCACGGATCGGTACCCTGATCATCTGAAACATCTCTATTTAGCTGAAGAGGAAAGACTCAGGAAGCAGCTTAGAAAAGCTGACCAGTCTTTGTTAGAACAAGCTGACCAGCCTCTGTCAGAAGAACAAGTTGATCAGCCTTTGCCAGAAGAGCAGTGTAGCACTGACCAGGCTTTGTCTGAAGAACATTGTAGCATTGAGCAGCCTCATCCAGAAGAACAATGTAGCATAAGAATAAAGTATGTATTACCATCTTTTGAAATTCTTCATTGTAGATGTAAGTAGGGTTTTAGGAAAGAGATTACAGAACAATTTCTGTATTAATTCGGATTTTTCTTAAGGCATATTAGAAGTCACAGGTAATTATGTGAAAATATTTTCATGGAGGCTTTCATGTTAGCTTAAATGACTATAAATTAAGTCAGGTAGGCTTAATAGAAGAAGTAATGGAATGGGAATTAAGAGACCTGGGTTTTAGGTTTCAGCCTCTCAAGTACATTTAACTTACTTGGACCATGATTAACTCCTGTTATTAATGTATGTTTTTAAAAATAATTTAATTTTTGAGAGGTATTGTAGTGTAGTGCTTAACATCGTGGACTTTGGACCTGGCTTTAATATGTTTGTGCCCAATGTCCTCTTCTCTAAAATGCAAATAATAATAGTAAGTATGTAATTTATAGCTGCCATGTTGTACAACCCCAGAATGGATTATTTACACGCTATGGTATCTTAGACCTATCTCAGATGTTGTGAAGATTAAATGAATTCATTTATATAGGTATTTAAAAAGGCATGTGATACATGGGAAGTGCTACATGAGTTTTAACTGCTACTACTACTGTTATTATTAACCTGGATTTTTTTTTTTCCAAGAGGACATAGACTTGGTTGCAATTAAAAAAATAAATGAAACGGAATAGAGACAAGTTGGTCAAAGAACTTTGGGATTAAAGTTCATGTACACCCACAAGGTCCTTCATAACATCCTTCAAATTAGTGCCTTTTTCAGTCTGTCATTTCTACCATTCATATGCTGGTTTCCTATTTTTAAACATTTTCAGATCTTTCAGAGCTTTCTGTATTTTCCCTGGTTGAAATATTTCTCCAAGACTTTCCATTTACTATTTTCTATATCTTGAAAGCTGTAACAAAATTTCTAATATGTTATTTGGACATTTTACTAATAAAATTAATGTCCTCTTCCTTTCAAGTTCTCTTCACCCCCACCCCTTAAGTTGCATTAGTGAGATTTGACTATACAAATACTATCTGACATAATTGTGTCATAATTTTGGTTATATTATTTTTAATACTTGTGATTTGTTTTCATTTATCTTGCAAAGTTCCATTACTATTCCAAAGAAAAATAAAAAGAAAACATCAAATCAAAAAGCACAGGAAGAGTATGAGCAGATACAAGCTAAGCGTGCTGCTAAGAGACAAGTAAGATCTACTTTTAAAATATTTAGATTCATGTTCCTTTATCCTAAGTGTATATGTAAGCTTTTCTTCTTAATATGGGGCACATAGTATGCCCTCTGTAAGTATTTGCTGAGTAAATGAATAATCTGAGAAGAGCTGGAGAATTTCAACATTCAGATTCCTTGATTGTTTATATTACCCTTGAGAGGTGATAGTAGTAGTCAAGAATAGGATTTTAAAGGTACTGCTCATAGGTTAATAATATGAGCATCTGGGACAGTGTTTCTCAAGAGTAAGGTCCAGATAGTTGCATTTTTTTTAACAAGTGCCTCAAGAGGTTATGCGTAATAAAATTTGAGAACTACTAATTTTTAAAAATGTAGATGATTTTCATAAATTTACATTAAAGAGTTGGTTTTGCTTATTAAAAACCTTACTAGATTAACTTAGCAAAAAGTTACCACACTTTGTTATCATTCTGAAACCCAAAATTATAACAGCCTTTTTCAGATGAGCAGAACAAAAGTATCCACAGCTTCAACAAAATTATTTTATTTGTGGTTTCTTGTTTCTTATATTGAAGCTATATTAATCTATCACTTTAAAAAGGAGAGCACATCGATCAAAAATACCCCAAAGATGGTGCTGACATATAATTTCTTTTATGTCTTAGCTTTACAAATCGTGTAATTAAGAAATCTGCAAGTTTAACATCTAAAATTCGTATGATTATTCTTAAACTGATGGCAGACTAGGGTAAAGCAGAAACATTTCTCCATGGAAAAACTGGACCTTTGTTTCACAGTTAGTTAAGATTATGCATTTTTTTAACCAACCTTCTGAAACCTGCCACCTTTGGAAATAGTATACCAGATGGAATATGGACCATTATACTGAAAAACATTTACTGTTTCAAAAAAAACTTCCTTTATGTATATATAAATGTTACATCTTTGTAACCGTGAAAATTGAGCATCAGCCCTTTATTTGTAAGGTGAAGATAAATCCTAGCATAAAAAGTTTTAAAAGGATGGAATATGCTGTGACGTGTATGAAAGCACTTTGTTAATTATGTCACCGTACAAATGTAAGGCTGTATCATTTGGGGGCTATATGCATTACAGGGGAAACTGAAAAACAGTTCACATATTGCATTATTTAAGAATTTTTAACTTTTATATTTAAGAATATTGTATTTCAAGTAGTGATTTTCAGGTTTATATAACTTCAAATTATTTTTCTTTAAACTCCAATGAATTTGAGTCTTTATCTTAGCAAATCAGATGAGCATGATTAATTCTTAAATAATCAAAACCATAATACCTAGCACAATATTTTACATATATATAGCTTGTAGTCAGTAAATGCTTCTTGAATTAAATCTGGATCAGATGGCAAATTTAAAAGAATACCAGATATTCTGGAAATGATTTGTGTTACATGGACTAGATAACCTCTAACGTCACTTCTGACTCTTCAGTGGATCTAATTAAATGTGAAACCATTAAATAAATGTGCCTTCTTTGTGCTTTAATTTTATTTGTATACAAATAATTAAAATTGTTTAATAACTTTACATTATTCTATGGCATAGCATGTATCATAGCGGCAAAGAGGGTACACTGCTGCACTTACGAGTAACACCTCACATTTTGCAAAATATAAGACAAACCTGAAGTGTTTGCATGGTGATAGCTATTTCAACAAAATTATTGAACAATATCTATTGTTTGTTACTAATGAAAATTATATATGTTAATAATTTCAGGAATTTGAGAGGAGAAAACAAGAGAGAGAAGAAGCTCAAAGGCTCTACAAAAAGAAGAAAATGGAAGTGTTCAAAATATTGAGCAAAAAGACTAAAAAGGGGCAACCAAACTTGAATTTACAAATGGAGTATCTTCTAAAAAAAATACAAGAAAAAAATTAGGTCAGACATGTTGCCTGATTAATCAAGGGTTAAAATATCTGCTGGCTAATGAGTTCTCTTGTATATGTACTGTCCCTCCTAACAGTTAACTAAATTTGTCAACACAGACTGGATTGCTAAGCTATACTAAATATAAAATGTCCAAATATTTTTTGTTTTTCTAAAAGAAAATTTTCTGTATATGCTCTGCATTATATATGATTTGTTTCTTAATTATTTGCTGCTGAATGAAGGTTGGCCTTCAAAACTGAAAGAGGGAACTTCCCT